AAAAAAAAAAAAAAAAAGAGACAGAGAAAAAAGAAAAGAAAAAGCAGAATCATTGATCTATTTTTCATAAACCAAAGACTGAGGTCCTATTCTGATTCCATAAAATGGTGTGTAATACTTCAAAAGCAATGAAAAATAGGAAGAACCAAATAAAAGTCATCCACAAATACCGGTAACAATTCGATCTATTTCCTTCACCTACTACGTTATTAATACATATTTAGAATGTTTTAAAAACATTAGGATAACTTTTAATATTGCTTTTTCACTTATGTATCAATCACTTTTTGTTATATCACTTTTCAAAAATATGACTTAAAATTATTTCATCATACAAATGTAACAAAAAAAACTACAAAAATGCTCCCTTTGTTACAATAGTTGTTTAGACCCTTTCCATTTTTCTGTATTTATAAATAAAGCTGAAATATCCCTGTGTATCTCTGATTAAGTCATTAGAATAAATTCCCAGAAAGGAGAGCAATGAGGTTAAAAAAAAAACTAGCCATTTCCAAGGTTGGTGGCACCCAGGCGTGGTGGTGCACACCTGGAGACCCACATACTTGACAGGCTGTAATGGGAGGATCCCTTAAGTCCAACAATTGGAAGCTAGCCTGAGCAACATACTGAAATCCCGTCTCAAAAATAATAATAAAATAAAATAAAAATAAAAACCTATGATAATTTTTTTTTTTTTTTTGAGAGGGGGTCTTCCTCTGTCACCAGGCTGGAGTGCAGTGGCGTGATCTTGGCTCACTGCAACCTCCGCCTCCCAGGTTCAAGTGATTCTCCTGCCTCAGCCTCCCAAGTAGTTGGGACTACAGGCTCATGCCACCATTCCCAGCTAATTTTTGTATTTTTAGTAGACATGGGGTTTCACCATGTTGAACAGGGTGGTCTCGAACTCCTGACCTCAAGTGATCCTCCTGCCTGAGCCTCCCAAAGTGCTGGGATTACAGGTGTGAGCCACTGCACCCGCCCCCCCGCCCAGGGTAAATTTTAAAATTTAAGATGTTCTTGCCGGGCACGGTGGTGCATGCCTGTAGTCCCAGCTACTCAGGAGGCTGAGGCTGGAGGATCTCGAGTCCAGGAGTTCTGAGCTGTAGTGCGCTATGCCGATTGGGTGTCTGCACTAAGTTCAACAACAATATGGTGACCTCTCGGGAGTGGGGGACCACCAGGTTGCCTAAGGAGGGGTGAACTGGCCCATGTCGGAAACAGAGCAGGTCAAAACTCCCATGCTGATCAGTAGTCGGATCGCGCCTGTGAATAGCCAGCGTGCTCCAGCCTGGGCAACAAAGCGAGACCCCGTCTCTTACAAAAAAAAAAAAAAAAAAGATGTTCTTTGTGATAATAGTCCACCATCTTCTCAATTTTGCTGGCTTTCTGAATAAATTTGTTTTCTCTCACCAACCCTCGTCTCTTGTGTCTGGCTTTCGAGTAGCAACCAGCCAAACCTGGGTCCAGCTAGATTCTTTGATATGCTGTCAAAAGCACAAACAAAAGAAAAAGATAAACTGTATTTTATCAAAATTAAAAACTTGGCCAGGCACAGTGGCTCATGTCTGTGATTCCAGTACTTTGGGAAGGCGAGGCGTCCACATCACCTGAGGTTAAGAGTTTGGACCAGTTTGGTGAAACCCCGTCTCTATTAAAAACACAAAAGTTAGCCGGGTGTGGTGGCGGGGGCCTGTAATCCCAGCTGCTTGGGAGGCTGACGCAGGAGAATCATTTGAACCCGGGAGGCAGAGGTTGCAGAGAGCCAAGATTGCGCCATTGCACTCCAGCCCAGGCAACAGGGTAACACTCCATCTCAAAAAAAGAAAAAAATAACAAAACTTTGGGGCATCAAAGGACATTATCATCAGGTGAAAAGATAATCCACAGAATGGGAAAAATATTTGCAAATCATATATCTGATAAGGAATTAATATCCAGAATATATAAACACAACTTTTTTTTTTTTTGAGACGGAGTTTCACTCTTGTTACCCAGGCTAGAGTGCAATGGCCTGATCTCGGCTCACTGCAACCTCCGCCTCCTGGGTTCAGGCAATTCTCCTGCCTTAACCTCCTGAGTAGCTGGGATTACAGGCATGCGCCACCAAGCCCAGCTAATGTTTTGTATTTTTAGTAAAGATGGGGTTTCAACATGTTGACCAGGATGGTCTCGATCTCTTGACCTCATGATCCACCCGCCTTGGACTCCCAAAGTGCTGGAATTACAGGCTTGAGCCACCGCGCCCGGCTACTTTTGAAAAGATGCTCAACATCATTAGTCCTTAGGGAAATGCAAATCAAAACCGCAAAATGAAATACTACTTCACAACTTTAAATGGCCATAAAAAAAACCCCCCAAAAACAGAAAATAGCAAGCATTAGTAAGGATGTGGAGAAATCAGAATCTTCTTAACTTGGTGTTGGGAATGTAAAATAGTACAGCTGATATGAAAAACTGTCAAGACAGTTTCTCAAAAATTTAAACATAGAATCATCCTATGACCCAGCAATTCCAAAGGTAGTTCCTATTTTCAATTCCAAAAGGATTGAAACAAATATTCAAACAAATATTTGTACACCAAAGTTCACTGCAGCATTATTCACAACAGCCAAAAGGTGGAAGCAACCCGAGTGTCTGTTGATCAATGAATAAAATGTCTACCCATACAACGGATTATTCAGCCCTAAAAAGGAAAGACATCCTGACACATGCTGTAACATAGATGAATCTTGAAAATATTATGCTAGCAAAACACAAAAGGCTATTTATGATTTCACTTACATGAGGTACTTAGAATAGGCAAATTCATTGAGACAGAAAGTACATTAGAGGCTACCAGGGACTTGAGGTACGAAGGATGGGTACTCTTCAATCACACCCACATTGCCCTTAAATCATTCGGCCATCTGTGTAAAAAGACCAAGTACTAGTACTGTTTAATGACTACAGAGTCTCTGGAAAGATGAAAAGATTTTAGAAATAGTAGTGTTGTTTGTACAACTGAGTGAATGCAATTAATGCTGCTGAACTATACACTTAGAAATGGTTAATTCTATGCTATGTATACATAATCACAATAAAACACTTTAAATTACCTGTTGTGTCTTTTACCCATTTTCTTGCTCATCTATAAGAATATCTCTTTCTAATACTTTTTAAGGTTACTAAATCTTTGTAATATATATTCCAAAGTTTTGCTTCTTCAGATTTCTGGTTTATCGTTTCTGCTCAATACCTAATCTCACTGAGAATCAAGAATATAAAACTTGACTGTCAACATGAACTGCAGAGCACCATTCTAGCTGCACACTTAACACGTGCCCAATTTTCTTCCTACCACCACCAAGGCAATAAACTTTCCAAGCAGAGTGCTAAGAACTGCTCCCTCCCATTTTATCCTTCAATCATACCCACACTGCCCTTCAATCATTATCTGTGTAGAAAGATCAAGTATAAACACTAAGCAGAATTTGAACTCAAGAAATGCCAGAAAAAGAACAGACTCAAAATCTTAACTTTTTTTTTTTTTGAGATAGAGTCTTGCTCTGTCTCCAGGCTGGAGTGCAGTGGCGTGATCTCGGCTCACTGCAACCTCTGCCTTTCGGGCTCAAGCGATTTCCCTATCTTAGCCTACCAAGTAGCTTGGACTACAGGCAGGCACCACCATGCTCAGCTAATTTTTTGTATTTTAGTAGAGATGGGTTTCACATGTTGGCTAGCCAACACAAAAGGCTATTCGGTCTCCTGACCTTGTGATCTGCCTGCTGGTCTCTATCTCCTGACCTGGTGATTTTCCTGCCCTTGGCTTCCCAAAGTGCTGGGATTATAGGCATGAGCCATCATGCCCAGCCTCAAAATCTTAACTTTTAAAGATAAGCCTGAAAAGCCTTAAAATGTTCAAGTAATAGTTAAGAGTACATCAATACAGTTTTACTGTTCAGCTACATTAAATGGGTAGGAAGATGGTGATTTTATCCATCGAGAATATATGTGTATTCTTTTGGGGAAAATAACATACAGAAGGAAAACTACTGTATACAACTCTGTAAGAGCTTCTGTAAAGGCATAACTAAAACTGAAGAAATTAAAGGTGAGACAGCACAGTTAAGAAGCTTGTATGGACGGGAAAAAGAAATCTTAGTCAATAGTATGCAGAACTGCCTAAAAGAAAGCAATATGTTTGGTTTTGGAATAAATATCATACAAAAAGTTATTATCATACATTGAATGAATACACTAATTTTATCAGTAACAGGTCATGGGAACAAAAATGATCTTGTGTGTGTGTGTGTGTATGTGCATAAAAAGAGCGGCAAATGCGTTATTCAACATAGCCCTTAAGAGAATGCCACTTTCAAATCGGCCAGAAAAAAATGTATTTACACAGAGAAAAAAGATAAATAGATAAATGATTAACAACTGGAGAATCTGCGTGAAGGTTTATGCACTGGAGACTAGAAAACTACCTTTTACATTAACACAGTTATAAATCTAATGCTAGTTACCAAGAAATTTGATCTAATTGATGAGGAAGGTATTAAGAAAAATTTTCAAGAATTAAGGAACATATCTTAATTGTAGCTCCAGATTTAATTTACTGGTAATTGTTAGCCTTTACTTCAGCAGTTGTGCCTCCTTCATTCACTCATTCAACAAATAGTTACTGAATGTGGTCACTATGTTTTAGGAACCTTTTGAGTTTTAGGAGCACTGCAGTATGAAATCCTGGAATTTCAAATTTAGATAAAATCTCTGAATTTCACATCTTTGTATAGGAGTCATGTAGATCCAAATATTGCCCAGGGTTTTGCCATATATTAGGAAATTGCATGATAGCCCTGGGATTTATAAATTTGACTTCAAAATTCCGAAAGTAGTCTATTTTCCTTTAGCCTAATCCGTGAGCCAAACTAAAAGGCAGGCCCCTATTCTACCAGGTCATATACACTGGAGCAACAGTTTAAAATGTTTGTTAAAAAAGTTAAAAAAAATTGGCCTGGTGCAGTGGCTCACACCTATAAATCTCAGCACATTGGGAGGCCAAGGGTGAAGGATCACTTGAGCCCAGGAGTTTGAGAACAGCCTGGGCAACATAGGGAGACCCAATCCCTATAAAAAAATTAAAATATTAATTGAGGTAGGGCACACCTATAGTCCCAGCTACTCAAGAAGCTGAGGTGGGAGGCCTGTTTGAGCTGGAAGGTCAAGGCTGCAGGCCTTGGGCAACAGAGAAATAATGATATATGGGTTGGAATGGTGGTGTATGTATCTATTTCCACAGTTCTTATGTTTATTATTCATACATATAGTTAGAATCAAGAAATATTATGAAAAAAAAAAAGCGAATCAACTCTGAGGGTTTCTGATTATAAATTTTAAATCCCTAGACTATAAGGAGGCCTAACAAACCGCTAGCAGGACCCTTAAGTTTGTCGACGGCTAGGTGGCTAACCAACTAGCTGGCTCACTCCGCAGTAAAAGAGAAAACTGTATAGTCCTGTTCTGCTAATACCTTTTGTGTTAGTCTGTTCTCATAGTGCTATGAAGAAATACCCAAGACTTATAAAGGAAAGAGGCTTGACTCAGTTCAGCGTGGCTGGGGAGGCCTCAGGAAACCATAATCATGGCAGAAGTCAAAGCAGAAGCAGGCACCTTCTTCACAGGGTGGCAGGCCCGAGTGAATGCAAGCAGGCGAAATGCCAGAGGCTTATTATAAAACCACCAAATTGAGACTCACTCACTATCACCAGAATAGCATTGGGGGAACCACTCCTATGATCCTAACTTCACCTGGTCCCTCCCTTGACACGTGGGAATTATGGGGAATACAATTCAAGGTAAGATTCTGGATGGGGACACAGCCAAACCATAACACCTTCATCTTATAAATCACTCCTTCGCAAGAGCACCTAAAAATGCAAGAACTTTAACTCAAACTTACAGCACTAAAGAATAACTGCCTTACACATGTAGGTTTTTTAGTTTCACCCTCTTTAGACTGGTGAGGACTTAGGTATACAGTGCTTACACTTCTTTGAGGCTGGCAAAATTAAAAACTTTATGAATGAATGAATCTTAATTCTAAAGACTTTATCTTTCTAGCCAAATATTTTCCAAATACCTTCTGTGTGAAAAGTATTGTGTTAAATGCAGGTGATATGAAACAGTCTAACAGTGGCTCCTTCTTTCACCTCAAGGTGCTTACAATATATTTGGAGAAATTATACATAAAAACATTTCTATCTTTATTGCAAATGACAATATTAATGACATCAGATCTTAATTACTTAACTCCCCACATACAGGAAAAGTTTCCACTGTCAGCACCTGTGTATGCTTCAATTAATCTCTATCGTCCGGACCTAACACAGCACCTGGCATACAGTAGTTGGAAAAAAAATGCTGAATGAATGGGCAAAAAATTGACACAAGGCAGCATGTGACCAATGGGAAATAACAGACAATGAAAAGAATACAACATGGAGAATGACCACTGTGGGGCCCTTTGGTTACCTCGCACCCATCTACAGAAACAGATTATTTTCTTATTATCCATGCTTCCCCTTGGATTGAAGAAGCCCACATGTAGCAAGAGAGACAAAAAAACGATATTGGCTTAAATGCCTTCATTGAGGTCAACACAAAAAGTAAAAAGGGCAGAGATGAGAAAACTCACTCTGCAGAGATTAGGGTCAAAAAAGGCTTTCCCAGGGCACTAGACCCTGAGGCCTTGAAAGATTAAGATTTCACCAGAAGAGGGCAGAGAACTGTCCAGGCCAGGAGGACACTAAACACCAAAGCATGGTGTGATGAATTCCAAGTATTTCTGTGTGGCTGCGATCTATATACAACGCGTAGAGGAGAGAGGGATGATGCTGGCCAGGGTCTGAAGGCCTTTAAATGCCACCCTCTGGGTGAGATTGAGATTTCACTCCGAGGGCAAATGAGAATTCCAGAAGATTTTAAACCAGGAACGAGTTGTTACGGTTCTGGAAAACAGTGGAACGAAGGCGTTGACAATGAACCATGACAAAACGCGTTACTTCACTATCGTACCACTCCAAGCAGCTCCAACCATGTACCCAAATACCGAGGACCACAGAAGTCCGTCACCAGCTGCCTGCAGCCTTGTCATCACCATATCACCACATCCCAAACTGCTTCGTCTCTTCAGCCAAAACAATCCTTCAAAACTTGCTGAAGCTTTCCTCACAGACTCGGCCCTAGGAGTGCACTGGGAAATGTCACTTCGCTTTTCCCACGATTTCGCGGGCTTGCGTCGAGCTCGTCACATTCCTCCCCCGCTCGCGTTTTGGGTCTGCCCGCGCTGTTTCCAGCTCGCGTCCTCCCCGCCGGGCCCGCAGCTCCCCGCCCAGCCTCGCGTCGGGGCCCCTTCACGTACCCCCTCCGTCTTCATGTCCAGGATCTTCTCCACTTCGAACACATCCTCCCCGTCCTCCTCACTGTCGCCAACGGCCTCCGCTCCTCTCGCGGCTGCGTCATTCTCACCGACTACTCCAACTCCTTCTTCGACTTCGGCCAACTCCACAGTGCTATCGGCAGCTGACACAGGAACTGCGGTCACACTCGCTCCCTCCGGAGCCGGCTCCATCCTAGAAGCTCCGCAAACTACCCAGAAAACCCGCTGCGACAGACACCCCAGCAGCTCCTAGCATTCCGCGCTCGACCCTACTCCACTTCAGCGGCGTGACGGAAGCCGACCAATGGTAGGCTTGGGACCCTAGAGTGACAGGCACAAAAACCAATCGTCTAAAGGCGGGCGCGGCGTAGCCTCGCGTAGCCCACGGGAAGCAGGTGGGCGGGGCGCGCGGCACCTCGGGCGGAAGAACGTGGTGGCATTTTGGGGGTGTGGCGAAAAGGTCAAGGGTGAGAGAGAAGCGGGCGAGGCTGGGGTAGATCCGGCGGAGGGCGTCCCAGGGCTGAGGGCGGCCCCGAGGACTTGTCAGTGCCCGATCCCCCGGCAGGGAAGCCTCAGGCGCGGAAGCCCGGGAGGGTCAGAGCCGGGGACTTTCTAGGAAAGGGAACTCCGCAGCTGCCGAAACCCCAGCCGAGCGAAACGGGTTCCCAGAAGTCATACATGATTTAGCACGTGCGGATGATCCAATCAAGTATAACTCATAGTGCTCTTATATTTTAATGAGTGTTGTTTAAAGTCAAGGAAATTTAGCGGCCTAAAAAGCATCCATTTTCCAAGTTCGTAGTGCCCTTTGCGTTTTCATCGAAAATATCGGAGGAAGACGTGATTAAAATTATTTGTTCAGGTTGTGAAGAGTTAACAAAAATTACGCCAGCCAAAGTTAGCGAAATACTGCTTAGGAAAATACACTTAAGGATAGTATATTTTTCTCACTTTGAATTTCGGATATGCGACTGAAGTCTTTATGGCATCAAGCTTTCTGTTTTTGTTTCTTTGAACAGTGGACTTAATTTGTAAGATGAGCCTCATTGCCAGTTTCTGAGCTTTAACTGAAGCATAATCTATGGTCCAGCAAATCCTTTCGGAGAGGATCGCCGGATCTTTGAGTTGACTCAATGATTTTTTTTTTCACTCAGGTTTAATCAGATAGTACTCAATGATATATTGTTGGGCTTATTAAATGCATCCTATGTACCATCGCTACAGCAGGCATTAAATTTTGGTAGATGTTATGGTTTACAGGAATACAAAGATCAGTAGAGCATAGTATGCCTTCCTAGTACCCACAGGAAGGAGTTCCGGGAAGACACACACCAATGCTAACAATTATGTATTTGAAAAACTGTAAAAATATTACAACCATAAAATTAGTGGATGGGAGAAAGCTCATTTTTACAGAATTCCAGATGATAAATATAGAAGGAAAGTTAGAGTTAGAAAAATCACAATAATATGTGCAAAAGATCCAGAGAGCAAAGCATTATATAAAAGGGTGATGAGGAACTGGATATTCACAAGGCACTATAGATCCACAGATTATTTGTTGGTTGTAGGGGAAAATCTAGCTTCACGTTTGAAAACCCGCTGATCAATGTTAGCATTACTAAAAGTGGAATAACCAGACTGTATGCTTCCTGTTGACAAAAATGTTGCTCCTTAATATACTCGGGCCTTTAAGTGTCATTTCCAGTTACACTGGAATAAAGGGGAAAGAGGAAAGAATAAAGGGGAAAGAGGAAAGAATAAAGGGGAAAGAGGAAAAGGAAACAATCAGACAAATACAGAATGTGGGATATCCTATTGGACAACTGATTGTTTCTTCCAGTTAAAGATAAAAGAAGAAGGAGGAGAAGATTATTGTAGATTTATAACAATTTGAGATGAAACACTTGGCAACATTTTAAATATTTTAAATCTTAATGGGTTCATTATACTGTTCTCTGCTTTTATGTAGTTTTGAATAAAATTTAAGTACATATATTCATGGTAAAAGTTTTGAATTAAAAAATATATAAGGCCAGGCACAGTGGCTCACACTTGTAATCCCAGAACTATGGGAGGCTGAGGTGGAAGGATGGCCTGAGCTCAGGAGTTCGTGACCAGCCTGGGCAACATGGCAAAACTCTGTCTCTATCAAAAATACAAAAAATTAGCTGAGCATGGTGGTGCATGCCAGTGGTTCCAGCTACTCGTGAGTCTGAGATGGGAGGATCCCTTGAGCCTGGGAGGCAGAGGTTGCAGTGATCTGAGATTGCGCCACTGCACTCCAACCTGGGTGACAGAGTGTGACCTTGTCTAAAAATATATGTGTGTGTGTGTATATATATATATATATATATGCATACATATACACATAAAACAGCCAGGCACAGCAGCTTATACCTGTAATCCCAGTGAGTGCTTTGGGAGGCTGAGATAGGAGGATCACCTGAGACTCTGAGGCCAGGAGTTCAAACCAGCCTGGGCAATACAGCAAGACCCCCATCTCTACAAAGATAAAAAAAGAAAACTAGCTGGGTGTGGTGGCAGGCACCTGTAGTCCCAGCTACTTGGGATGCTGAGGTAGGAGAATTGTGGCTTGCTTGAGCACCACTGCACTCCAGCCTGGGTGACACAGAGTGAGATCCTGTATTACTCCTTTTTCATACTGCTATAAAGAACTGCCTGAGACTGGGTAATTTATAAATGAAAGATGGTTAATTGACTTACAGTCTAGCTTGGCTGGGGAGGCCTCAGGAAACTTACAATCATGGCAGAAGGCAAAGAGGAAGCTGGTCTTTAAATCCTAACCTTCTGAAGGCAGCAGGAAGAAGTGACAGGTGAAAGGGTGAAGATCCCCTTATAAAACCACCAGATCTCATGGGAACTCACTCACTATCATGAGAACAGCATGAGGGAAACTGCCCCCAGGATTCAATTACCTACACCTGGCCCTTCCTTGACACATGGGGATTATGGGGAATACAATTCAAGATGAGATTTTGCGTGGGGACCCTAAGCCTAACCATATCAGATCCTGTCTCTAAAAAAAAAAGTGTTGGGTACCACGCCTCACACCTGTAATTCCAACACTTTGAGAGGCCAGGGTAGGAGGAGTTTATATTTGAAGGCAGGAGTTTCATGACACAATGAGCTATGATCCCACTACTGCACTCTGGCCTGGGCAACACAGAAAGACCCTGTCTCTAAAATATATGTGTGTGTATATAAGTATATATAAACAACATTATATAATATATATCATACATAATATATATTCCATATATATTTTATATATATACCACATATATATGGTAGAAATAAAGTTCCCATTCATCAAAGATAACCAGTTTGTAATATGACATCACAAATTTTTACTCTCTGCACATGTAAGCATAACTATATACTTTTTTTTTTTTTTTTTTTTTTGGTCATTCATGCTGGAGTGCAGTGGCATGACTATAGCTCAGTGCAACCTTGAATTCCTGGGCTCAAGTGATCCTCCCACCTCAGTCTCCTGGGTAGCCGGGACTACAGGCACAGGCCACTATGCCTGGCTAATTTTTGTGTTTTTTTGTAGTGATGAGGTTTTGCCATGTTGCCCAGGCTGTTCTCAAACTCCTGACCTCAGGTGATCCACCTGTCTCAGCCTCCCAAAGTGCTGAGATTATAGGTGTGAACCACTGTGCCTGACCTCATGTGCCCCAATCTTCAAAATGAGCTCTATCGCATATTGTTTTACAACTGCTATGTATATTATATATATATGGTGCTGTGTATAAACTGCTATGTATAGTGCATATGTGTGTGTATCTATATTTCTGTGAGATAAATTTCTAGAAGTGGAATTCCTGTTAGTGGAATTTATGAGTGACAGAAGGTAGTGATTTAAATTTTGATTGATGTTATGGTTTGAATGTTCGTTCTTTCCCAAACTCACTTCACGTGAAGTGGGGCCTTTAAGAGGTGATTGGGTTGTGAGGGCTTTTCCCTCATAAATGGATTAATTCATTCTGGATTAATGGATTAACCAATGGCTTATCATGGGAGTGGAACTAGTGGCTTTGTAAGAAGAGGAAGAGAAACCTCAGCTGGCATGTGTTGTCTCTTGCCAGGTGATGCCTTGCACTGCTTTGAGACGCTGCAGAGAGTCCCTACCAGCAAGAGGGGACTCACTAGATGCCCCTCCCTCAATCTTGGACCCATCCTCCAGAACTGTAAGAAATAAATTTCGTTTCTTTATACATTATCCGTTTTCAGGTACTCTGTTATAAGCAACAGAAAACAAGCTATTGCCAAATTTTGTTTTACCCATTCAATCATCCCTTGATGTCCATGGGCGATTAGTTTCAGAATGTCCTGCAGATACCAAAATCAAGGATGCTCAAGCCCCTGATACAAAAGGGTGTACTATTTGCATATAACTTATGAACATCCTCTCATATATTTAAAATCATCTTGATTACTTACAATAGCTAATCCAATGTAAATGGTATGTGAATACTTGTTATACTGTATTGTTTACCAGATAATGACAAGAAAAATAGTGTGTACATGGTCAGTACAGATGCAACCATCATAAGCATAACTGCATTTCTGATCTGTGTTGGAGCACCGACTGTATTTGTTTCCAGTAGTAATGTAAGGAAGTACCTGTTTACCTATGCTCTCTGTGCTACTAGGCACTTGCAATCTTTTAACTAACTTAATCTGGCAAACCAAGAAAAGACAGTTGATCTGTTGTGATTATGTCAAGTACAGAGCAGGCAAGATGAAATGACCTGACAGCTCCAACCAGTAAGGATATAACAAGCCCTCTTTAGATTTATTTTTCTTGAAAATTTATTTTTCTTTATTTTCTTCATTTTTTTTTTTTGAAACAGAGTCTTGCTCTGTTGTTCAGGTTGGAGTACAGTGGCAAGATCTCTGCCTCCTAGGCTTAAGCCTCCCGATTAGCTGGGATTACAGGTGCCTGAGACTATGCCTGGCCAATTTTTGTATTGTTAGTAGATACGGGGTTTCACCATGTTGGCCAGGCTGGTCTCAAACTCCTGACCTCAAATGATCCTCCCACCTTGGCCTCCAAAGTGCTGGGTTTACAGGTATGAGACACTGCACCCCACCCCTCTTTAGATCTAGATGGTTTATTACTCACATAAATAGCAAAAGGAAGTGTAGTCAAAGATATCAGTTCCTTGTGGTCCTTGTCCCACATCCCAAAATAGACATGGAAACAAAAGGACTAGATTACTGTGAAATGCGTTGTCAGACAACCGCATTGCTGAGGAGCTCGTGTTAGCCTGCAGCTGCAGAGATTCTTAGCCTGAGCCTTAGGCCTCATCAGAACTGGATGGCCACGAGAAACACTCTGGCAGCATCCTTGGGGGAAAAGGAGGCAGATGGGAGAAGCCCCATGGCAGCTCCTCTCAAGCCCCATCCTTTTGTGTTCCAGGAGTATCACAGGACTCAGGACAGCTGTGGTGGAAGCTGTTGCTTATCTGATGATAGTGCAAGGTGACCAGGGCCATCATGGAGCAGTTCCCCTACAGATCAGGTTATTCCGGCTTTTAACATCTTGTTCTAATTTTGATAATTTATTTATTTTCCCAGAAATCTGTTTATATCATTGAGATTTCGAAATGGATGGGCATAAAGTTGTATATGAAATTATCTTATAAATCTGCCTGGGTTTGTTTGTTTGATTGTTTTGAGACAGGGTCTTGCTCTGTCACCCAGGCTGGATTGCAGTGCCACAGTTGTGGCTTCCTGTAGCATCAACCTCCTGGGCTCAAGTGATCCTCCTGCTTCAGCCTTCTGAGTAGCTGGAACTACAGGCATGCACCACCATGCCTGCCTATTTTATTTGTAGAGACAGGATCATGCTATGTTGCCAGGCTGGTATCTAACTCCTGGCCTCAAGTGATGCTTCTGTCTCAGCCTCCCAAAGTGTTGGGATTACAGACATGAGCCACCATACCTGGCCTGTTATAATTCTTTGAATTTCATTAACGTATTACCCCTTCCTCATGTCTGTTGTTCTGTATTTGGGTTTTCTTAATTGTTCCTTGCTCAGGTTTCCCAAGGTTTTGTCTATTTTTTTGAATAAGCCCTTGGTTTTACCTAGCCATCTATTGCTGTTTGACTTTTTCCTTTGTTTAATTCATTAATTTGTTTTATCTTCATTATTCCTTCTTGTCAATTTCTTTAGGTTTGTTCTGATATTCGTTTTCTTTTTTTTTTTTTTTGAGACAGAGTCTTACTCTATTGCCTAGGCTGGAGTACAGTTGCGTGATCTCAGCTCACTGCAAACTCCGCCTCCTGGATTTAAGCAATTCTCCGCCTCAGCCTCCCAAGTAGCTGGGATTACAGGAGTATGCCACCACACACAGCTATTTTTTTGTATTTTTAGTAGAGACAGAGTTTCATTATCTTGGCCAGGTTGGTCTTGAACCCCTGACCTCGTGATCCACCCACCTCAGCCTCCCAAAGTGCTGGGATTACAGATGTGAGCCACCGCGCCTGGACCCTGATGTTCTTTTTCTAGACACCAATACCTCTCAGATAAATTCCTGGTTGATTTATTTTTATAGTTGCAAAGACAGAGTGGTGCTATTGGCTGCCAGCTCTCCACTCTCCCTGCCATCTATTCTAGGTCTACTGGAATAGCCAGCTAGAATTATAGGAAGCCTGCTTCTCCAAGGTGTAAACAAAACCCTTAACACCACAGTCGTAAGACTCCTCCCAGACTAGTCTGGTATTCAGGGGAGCTTTTTGCCAATCCACCCTCCTAATAGGGAAACTGAAATGCAAGATTCCAGGGACAGAACCAACCAGCAAACAAGACCCTAAACTCCTTTTTTAATCCACTTTAAGCAGGACCTACTTTTCTATGTAAGAGGCTCTCAGTCCCACCTATTTCAAATTATGACTTTCTTTTTTCTTTTTATTTTTTGAGACAGAGTCTCACTCTGTCACCCAGGCTGGAGTGCAATAGCATTATCATGGCTCAATGCAGGCTCAACCTCCCGAGCTCAGGTGATCCTCCCACCTCAACCTCCTGAGAAGCTGGGACTACAGGCACGTGCCACTATGCCCAGCTGATTTTTTGTATTTTCTGTAAAGATGGGGTCTCATCATCTTGCCCAGGCTGGTCTCAAACTCCTGGGCTCAAGCAATCTGCCTCCCTTGGCCTCCCAAAGTGCTGAGATTATAGGTGTGAGCCACTATGCCTGGCCCATAATAAGACTTTCAGAGCATCTGAAGTTTCTTATTCTCTGGACCAGCTCCAAGGCTAAAGCTGATGGAAGACTCAGAATATGATTCTCAGGCTACCCCCTCACCACTGACAGTGGGCACAGGAATAGCCTAACCATTAGGAAAATGAAAGGAGGAAAGACCAACACCAGGCTAGTGCAGAAGCCTCCAAAGCTGGAGATGTCCATCAGCAGCAGGAATAACTTGGTGTTGGTCATTTCTCTTAATTTGTAATGTATAAATCCCGGGGGTTTCTTTTGCTTCTTTCTCCTGCTGGATCTCTTATTTTGGGGGTTCTGTTTCTTTCTCTTTCTTGGCTGACTCCTTCGTTTTCTGAAGTCCACCCTCTAGGACTAGATTTCTCCACCCTGCCAGACATTATTGACATTTTGGACCAGATAATTCTTTGTTTTGTGAGTCTGGCGGGGTGAGCAGGGGATTGTAAACAATAAAAAGCTGTGTAAACTTTGTAAAAGAGGCTAGAATTTATTTCTAAGACAGTAGAGAAACACTGAAAGCTTTTAAGTGGCAGAATGACAGGGCCACATATGCATTTTAGAATTGCTCTACCTACACTATGGAGATTAAATTGGAGGAGTTAAAGTCAGGAATTAAGAATTAATTAAGAGATTGCTATAAACCAGGCATGGTGGCTCACGCCTGTAATCCCAGCATGATTTTAGAGGCTGAAATGGGAAGATTGCTTGAACTCAGGAGTTTGAGACCAGCCTGGCAACATAGTGAGACCTCATGTTAGCAAAAAATAAAAAATTAACCAGGCACCATGCTGTGTGCCTTTAGTCCCAGCTACTTGGGAGACTGAGGTGGGAGGACTGTTTGGGCCTAGGAGTTCATGATCACAGTGAGCTGTGATCACACACCGCTGCACTCTAGCCTGAGAGAGAGAGTAAGACCCAGTTTAAAAAAAAAAAAGTCTGTTAATAATCATCTAAATGAAAAGGGATGGCTTTGTGTGGCAGTAAGGAGTTGTGGGTAGATTTGATAACTATTTATAAAGTAAAATCAAGAATGCTTGGCTAATAATTTGACATGGTGGAACAGGGCAAAGGTAAGGATGATTCCTAAGTTTCTAGTTTAAATACTGTATAGCAGCAGGTGTTGTCATTTTATTGTCTCAGGAACACTGTGGTAAAGTAGGTTTTGGAGGGGAAGATAAAAAACGTCCAGTATTGGGCCAGTTGTGGTGGCTCATGCCTGTAATTCCAGTACTTTGGGAGGTCGAGGCAGGTGGATCACCTGAGGTCAGAAGTTTGAAACTAGCCTGGCTAGCATGGCGAAAACCTGTTTCTACTAAAAATACAAAAATTACCCAGACGTGGTGGTGTGCGCCTGTAATCCCAGTTACTTGGGAGGCTGAGGCAGGAGAATCGCTTGAACCCAGGAGGCAGAGATTGCAGTGAGCTGAGATCACACCACTTCACTCTAGCCTGGGCGACAGAGTAAGACTCCATCTCCGAAAACAAAAGCAAGAAAGTCCAGTTTTGATGTACTTATGAAATAAGACTGTGCTGATTGATATAAGCAAGATGGCAGAATAGGAAACCCCAGAGCCTTATCCTCCTACAGAGACATCAACTTAACAACATCATATGGACAAAATAGCCTTTCTGAGAACTCCAAAAACCAGTTGAGAGTTTGCAGCATCCAAAGGTACACAAAGCCAGGAGATTCATTGAAACAGGCAGAAAATTGTGTGGTATTTTGCTTGCCATTGGTAAAGAAAAGCAAGGACAATTGTCATAGTTACAGCAGGACAAGTGGGGATTTATAGTCAAAGAGCAGAGTTGGGGGGTGGGGGTGAGCAGTGGATGGAAAATTACTAAGAGGCAATGTCAAGGCAAGGGTGACATTCTGGTAAAACTGATCTGACAGAGTTCTTGCAGAAGGCAGGTCAGGGTGATCAAATGTCATCTGGGGGATGGTGGAGGATGATTAATTTAATTAGATATCAAGAGTGGAAGATTCTTGCTAAAACTGCAAGAAATAGTTTTGTGATGCAAAGATGAATATAGGAGCTCAAAGGTCAAGGCCTGGTTAAGTAGAGGGTTCAGAGGAATCTGACTAAAGTGTGGTCAAGGAGAGATTCTTTGTCACCCTAGTTACTCCCTATCCCTAGCACACTGCAGTATAATTGGGAGAACTTTTCCAATCCTCTTCTCCCTCAAGAGAGAAACAGAGAGGGGAAACAACCATGGTCCAATGCTCAGGCCTTTTGACAGTTCTCCTAAGGAGCAGATTTCTATCTCTCCTGACTTGGAGTGCTGACGGGAACAGCAGTTTAGATGCCAGTTTTGATGCTCAGGGGTCACTGAGATCAAAGGCGACTGCTGCAGCTTGTTATGGAAACAATAAGATGTAGTACCACA